TTTAATAAGATTAGACTCAAAAAAAATAATACTAACTTTGATTTAATTAAAGCTAACTCATCTTTAGCTTCAATATATAACAGATTCATCTTATACTTATTCATATAGATTAAAAATAACATCTTGTAATGGAAATCTAGTATTAAAGCAATACAGTGTATATCTACTGTATTTGTCTAGTATTTAATAAATTTGGTTTGTATCAAGTTTACTATTTGAGAAAGAAAGAGATTAGTATTAGTAGCATTTTGTTCAAGATACATTCTAATTCTCAACAATTCAGGAAGAAAAATATTTGCTATAGAGTAAGTGCTTTTTAATATAGTATTGGTAACTGATTAAAATACAATATTATTTAATTTGTACTTATAATAAAGTACTTGAGCTAATTTAATTAGCATCACTTACTTTCATAAAAAGGTTTTAGAAAATTGCAAAAACACTCTGCCTTTTTCCAATCATCATCCAGAGGTGCAATTGGTTCAAAACTAGCATCTCTAAATACAAAACATTCGAATACATATCTGTATAGGATTGTGAATAACAATATTGTAAATGTCAAATTCCAGCAAATGACCATGTCAAAAGTTGGTCGCTAGCTTGAAACAAGCTCATTGCAAATTCTAACAACAAAATCTTCAAAGTTTTGCTATTGATATCTCGAACTATAAATCTACTTTATACAATCTCTAATTTATAATACCAACTACAAGTAAGTAAATTAGCTCTTTTAAAACTAAGCCTATATACTCTAGTTAATAAATTAGAAAAGTTAAAGTTTTATTAAAATAACTATATTGGTTATACTAAAATTTAATTTGCTTACATTTAGAAGAATAGAAGAATACTAATTAGATATCTTTTTATCCTTTGCTGTGCTTATATTATATTTTTAAATTTCTCTATTAATGCTTTATCTAGCAAATTTTAACTACTAATCAAATATCTTTCTTTTTTTTTTTTTTTTATTCTGAGCAGGCTAATAATTTAATATTGTTCAATACAATAAATTACTACTTTAGCAAAGTTTAAATATCATTCAAATGCTTTGTTTTCATCTATAGCAGTGTTATGCTACATTAATAGCAATAAATTTAGAACAATAATATCTATTGAAATTTTATCTGTCCAGTCGAAATTTCTGTTATGATAACTCCAAGACTGTAAATATCAGCTACTTGAGTATATAGCTAATTTATGAAAATCCCAGGTGCTATATATGGTAGATATTTTTATCTTTTGAATATTATCTAATCTATTAAGATGAGTTTACTCAGTTACATTTTTATAGTTTGTAGCTTTAAGTTAAAAATTCTTAATACAATCATTTAATCTATTAAAATGAGTCCACTTAGTTATATCTTCATAGTTTGTAGAATAATAAAAGTTGTTATTCTTTGTATAAACTACAATATTATATTAAAAACTATATTTTTAAAATCAATATTTAAAGAGTTTTTCAAGAAATTATAAATTAATTTTTTAGTTAAAAAATTTTTTTAAAATTGTTTATTTTTAGCTTATAAGCAACTAAAATTTTTGTCTTATAATATAAGGGTTTTTCTAGACATCTCTGGCCAGAGATATATTAGTTATATATCTTTAGCTTATTAGCCAATTAAAATAAGTAAAGGTTATGTAACCTATTTTCAGATCATTGCCAAGTTAGAAAAATTCATACAACCCAAAATCTTATCCAACTTTCCAAACATAAAAAATCGACTAATTAAATTCAATTATACAAAAAAAAGTTAAGTTTTTCAAAATTTATTAAAAGTATTATTTTTTATTGATTAATCAAAAATTGCCAAGAACACACTAGAGAATTTACTACACAATACTAAAAAATATACAGAATTTATATAACACCAAAAATACCCAAGAACAAATGCCAAAGAATTCATCACATAATGTCAAAAGTGCTTAAAAACAAATATTAGAAAATTCATTATACAATATCAAAGGTGTTTAAGAACAAACACTAGAAAATTTATTAGTGACAAAATTTCTCAAAGAGGAATGCCAGAGAATTTACCACACAACATCGAAGATATTCAAGAACAAATACTAGCAAATTTTTATCATAGTGCCAAAAGTGCCCAAGAACATATACCAAAGAATTTACTACACAACACCAAAGGTGTTTAAGAACAAACACCAGAGAATTTATTATAGTGCTAAAAGTTCCAAGGACAAATGTCAGAGAATTCACTACACAACACTGAAGATGTTCAAAAACAAATACAGAGAATTCATCACAATGCAAAAAGTTCTAATAACAAATGTTAGAGAATTTACTACATAATACCAAAGTGTTTAAGAACAAACACCAAAGAATTCATCACAATGTTGAAAGTGCTCAAGAACAACTGCTGGAGAATTTATTACACAATACCAAAGGTTTCAAGAACAAACACCAGAGAATTTTCATTACAGTGCTGAAAGTACCCAAGAACAAACATTAGAGAATTTATCACATAATACCAAAGATATTCAAGAACAAACACCAGAGAATTTTCATTACAATATTGAAAGTGCCCAAAGACAAATGCTAGAAAATTCACTACACAATGCCAAAAGTATTCAAGAACAAATACCAGAAGAATTTACCACAACACCAAAGGTGTTCAAGAACAAATGCCAGAGAATTTATTACAGTGCCAAAAGTGCCTAAGGATGAGCACTAGAGAATTTACCACACAATGCTGAAGGTGTTCAAAAACAAACACTAGAGAATTTATTAGTGTTGAAAGTGCCCAAGGACAACTGCCAAAGAATTTTTCACACAACATCAAAGGAGTTCAAGAACAAATACAAGAGAATTTTCATTACAGTGCTGAAAGTGCTCAAAGACAAATGTTGAAGAATTCATCACACAATGCCAAAGGTGTTTAAGAACAAACACTAGAGAATTTTTATCACAGTATCGAAAGTACTCAAGAACAAACACTTGAGAATTTACTACACAATACTGAAGATGTTTAAGAACAAACACTAGAGAATTCATTACAATGCCAAAAGTGCCCAAGGACAAATGCCAAAGAATCTATTACACAATATTGAAGATGTTCACCAGAGAGTTCATCACAGTGCCAAAAGTGCCCAAGACAAATCCCAGAAAATTCATTACATAATACTAAAGGTATTCAAGAACAAATATCAGGAAATAGAGTTCAAATCCCACGGACAACGTTTTCGAAAAATAGTCCTGTGATACAGTTAATAGCTATTCAATGATCAGTAGGATCTAGAAATCTGTAATCTCGGTCACATCATCTAGAATGGGATCTTTGGCGTAATAAATCTGAGATACTGGAAGAACTGAAAACCTGTTTGGCAAGTCCCGAGTTGGGAGGTAGTGCGATTTTTGACAGTACTACAGGAAGACCGAATTTGGAACCGGAGACTGAGATCGGAGAACCAAGCGACCAGATCCTTAAGTGGGGGGACATACCAGCCGAACCGCCAGGTCGCCAAACCGGAGGAAAAGGACATGTGCTCTGAAAGCATGTACCAAGGGAAGGAAGACTATATAAACACCTAAAGTCTAGATAAACCAACCCTTCCGGGTTGCAGCTGGAAGTAAGGGAGAGACTGATAAAAAATCTGGGAAAGAAAGAAAGTTCGAATGTGGGTGCTGGGGTTGTGCAAACCCAAAACAAGGGCAGGAGTACGTAACAACTACTAAAATAGGAAGGTTGTGGTTTGAGA